GGCTCCACCGGGTGTCCGGGCCAGGGCCGGGAGGGAGCGCAGCCGCTCCCGAGAGCACTTCCTCCGGAGCCTTGGTTGTCTGCTCTGCCCCCGGGCGGGCAATTCCCAGCAGAGAAGCGTGTGTTTTCTTGGGAATCAGGGTGTCCCTGCCCACGTGGGACCCAGGTACAGTTCAGAAGTACATACCAAGGATGGAACAAGGGTCAGGCGCTGTTAGTTGAAACTATTTGACCTCAGAGCAAACAGAGGTTGTGTGGGAGGGTGAGGTCTGCAGCGGCCGAGACACCAGCTAGTGCCTGAGCAAGTCGCAGCCGTATTTATCACAGGAAGGATTTGATTCCTCCAATAAAGCAGTGTAGTAATGGCTTAGTAATGATGTACTGGCGGAGAGCTGAGGCCTGAGTTAGTTCAGCCATCGGTTCCGCAAATGATTCATTTCACATGAGCTATGATGTAAAAATTCGCATTTCAGGTTCTTCTTTCAAGTTGAGCCTTGTTTACCTTTATTCTGAAATCTTTGAAGAGATGGACTTCACCTTGTGAAGTAGCATTTTGCTCTACATGTAGTTGTGCTGCAACTGGATTGCCTGTGCAATACGAACTTGTTATTTATGGTAACTAGCAGTGGCAGAGTTTGGACCTTGGAGAAGAAGGCTGGTTTGTGGTAACATCTCTCAAGGGTGACAGAGTTTTTACTCTGGTTTTGGAATATCCTTTGAGGTGAGGAATTCAGTTCTTTTTCCAACACAGAAGTTTCCAATACAGAAGCATTTCAGCAATTCAACTGTGTGATTTCATTGACTTCACAATTGAAATAGTTATGGGTATTTTTAATGTACCATAAGCTAAAATTAATCTCCATTCTGCAGTTAAAACTGTTGGTAAGATTTCAACTCACTCAAAACCAAAGGCAAAGCTCAGCCTTCAGCAATGCAAAGAGCTGGGTAAGAGGTTCTGAAAAGCTAAAAGACATCCGTCAATGATCTAGTCCCCAGTCCCTGTGCCTGTGGCTTCTTGGAGGGGCTATGGTGACTTCTTTTGCTGCTGTGTGATTTGGTTTTTGTAAAAATTCCTAATCTGCAGTCCCAGTTTTCTGCTTACTTAAATGTCTTTCTTTGATTGGAATTAAAGGTAAGGACTGTTAGTCACATTCTGTCATTATCTTCAAAAGACAACATTTTTATTTAAAGAAAAAGTGTATGTTTTGGACTCTGTACAAGTTCATTCTTTCAGTGTGTCCAGTGCTGAAAAGCGGTATGTCCCATGGAGATCAGCTGCTGACCACCTTTACACATTTACAAGTGTATCTCCTAGCTGTTTCCCAGAGGCAGAGTAGCAAACCTGTGGAAACACTTCACTGTTATTACAGAGGTTCTTTGATCTAGAAGGAATGAGCAGATTTTGGGTTTGTTTGTTTGGTTTTGTTGTTTGTTAGCTTTGGGTTTTTTTAGTAAAAATAATTCGTATTCAAAAATAGTGCTAGGTGTACAATAATGCATAATAAGGATAAATGAGAAATAGTTGTACGTTATAACAACTAAACATGTAAATTGGGGTGTCAAGGCTTGGTGGTGGCTGTGTGACCCATTCAAGACACTCAAACTCTGTCTCTAGATCATTGGTTTCATTTGTGGAAAAGGTAATTTTAGCTAATATTTGGTCAGTGTTGTAGTGTAGTCTGCCACAGTGTGTTTCTAGGTTATATTTGACCCTAGGAAAAGGCACTTTGGGGCTTACGTGCATAGTGGTCCCCTTGGGCAAATTGGTAACAAATGGTGGAACTTGGACAAGCAGTACAAGGAGACTGTCAGTAATTGTCCATGAATGAGCTTAAGCGCATGAATTGATCTAAGTGAAAAAGTCAGGAGGAAGCCATGACCAGATGGTGAATTCTGCTCGGAGTCATCTTCCAGTGGAGGTGCCCTTGAGGACTCCTTTCCTGCTGCTGTGACCAGAACTAACATTCACTTTCCAGTATTATTCACAAAGATGGGTTTGTCCAGAAAGATGTTGCCTTGTATGGTGGGGACCAAAAAAGTCCATGCAACGAGCAGACCCTGAGGTGCTCTGCTCAGTTTTCTGTGGTAATAGTGAAGAGGATGAAGGACAGCATAATCTCCACATGGAGACTTCATGTGAATTCCTCACTCTAAGAGTAGGCAACCATAGACGGTGCTTGTGGCAAGCTGTCATGGTTCAAACCCAGGCTGAAAGTCAAAAACACAGCACTGCACCAGCTACTGAGAAGGAGAAAAAATGACTGCTATAGCTGAACCCAGCACACAAGCATTTAGAAATATGCTATTGTTAATACCTGTTTGGAGCCTCTGTGACTGTAACTCATAATTCCAGTAAAGATTAAGTCTCTCCAGAGCTTCCAGTTTGGATGCTGTATTTAGGGTACTGGTGCTATTCTGAGCTGCCCCAGCCTGTGTGTGTGGATGGTTTGAGTGTTGCTTTGGAGGTACAGATACAGAGTATGTATATGAACAAGTATTCAGCAAAGAGAATTTTAAACATTTCTGTAAGAGTTGTTGCCCTTATACCTGTCCATCCTTCATCTCCTTTCTTTGCAGGATGCTGTTGAAAAGGAAGTGCGGAAGGCAGGGGCAGGTTGTCCTTCCTATGCCAAGAAGCATGGACAGACTCATCGTACGTGCAACAGACAGGTATTGTTAAGACAGGTTGAGATTACATTCATGATTGTTTGTGCCCTCTTAGCAGAAGCAGCATGTGGACAAGAAGAGCTTGCTATCTACAGTAACTGATTGATTGGTTTCTCTTTTTCATGGGATAGAGATTGGGAAAACAGCTGATGGTGAGGTTGTGTAAAATTATCAGAACCATCTCTTCAGGCAGAGGGCCCAGAATGTGAATATGTATGGCTAGAAAGATTAATAATAAGAGAAACAGACATGACAGTATTTCAGGGGAAAAAGAAGCAAGTAAGTCCTGCTTAAAAATAAAATAAAATAAAATACTGGGTTCTTTGTTATGTTGGAATTCATTTAAGGTAAAAGACAGTCTTAAGTGCTAGAAACCATGGAGGAGGCTGTACCTCCATTTCCAAAGGTCACCAGCTCTTAAAGAAGACTGTTGCAGAAGTAGGTCACACATTACCAACAGTCTTTGGAGTGGGCTTATCTGGCACTAGTTTATAATTCAGTGAGTAGCTTTGCTCTGTTCATACTTGGTGAGCTGTATTTTAATACTGAGAGGGATGGATTCCATTGCTCTTATTCATGTTGAGTTGCAGTCAGTGGAACTAATTGTTGAATAAGGTATGCTCAGCATGAGGATGGGTGATGGAATCTATCCCAGATGGAAATATCTTTTAAACCACTACTGTATTGAAGAGCAGCCATCTTAATATAGGCAAATCTAGCATGTTGCTAAAAGTGCTTCAAGCCATTCTTGTGGCACACTGTAGTATTTTTACAGATAAATGCAGGGGTGATTTTAAAGTGATCCCCTCCCCCACCCTCAAGGTTGAATCATATTAACAGAAAGATTGGAAAAACATTTGCATTGTTGTCTGTCTTCTGTTAAAACACCAACAGAAAGTAGGTGGGATAATACAGTTTTGCAGAAATCACTACTTAACTGCAGCTGTGTATAGAAGTCGGTTTACTGAAAATGTTTTGTTGTGCAGTTTTCTGACATTTATTGTCAGTCATTCGTCTTCTGTCTCTTCCATTTTGTGCAACTTCTTTAGTAGAAATGTACTGGTGCCGTTTTGTACACACAGGCAAAAATCTCTTGGAGAAGAATACTAGCATGCCTATGTGGTAAATTCGAGGAATAGAGTAGAGATGCAAATTGCCATTTTTGAATTGAATTTATTGTAAAGCATAACAGAATTATTGCTTACAGTGCTACAGAAAAGTGTGAGACAATCTGTCAATGGAGCAAACCCCAGGTATGTAAAAGATGATGTATACAATGATAAAAAGCTAGCTGGAGGCAGTTGATATAACCAGTTACTCTTAGGCGACCTTGGTAGCCAGTGTACAGAGAGGCTCTCCCATAGGAGATGAACAGAATCTGGACAGCTTTGAACTTTACCTACCCTGGCTAAAGCAAAGGCCTTAGGTGTGGTGGTGCTAATAGCCTCCTTAACTGAACACTGCCCTAACTGAAATGCAAACCTGAGTGGCCACTCTCTAGGATGCAATTCTAGTTAAGTGTGATGTATTTTCACTAGGATCTTACTCTTCTACTGAGGACCCCAATAGGAAATACAGGAAGTAGCAGTGATGTCATAATAATACCATAATTTAGCTAGCTGAAAGAGGGGTCTGTTTGGTAATTAAAACATTCACCCTAGGTTAAGTCTGAACAGAGTGCCCTAGAGCTAGTGTCTTCAGCGACACTTGCAAAATATGCATGAGAACCTGTAAAGATCACATCTAATAAGAACCCATAATTTATCTCCTCTGCTTTCTGAGGATGAGAAAAGCCAACCAGGCAAGTTACTGTACAGAATAACAGCACATTATCTTACTCCCACTGTGGAGGAAATGTTTACATTCTTCATCCTGGAGAAGTACACCACTAGAAATAGCTGGGTGATAAGTAAATGAACTAGACTACTCATTTAAATTGCTACTATGATAGAAATAAGACAAGAATACTTTGTTTTAAAAGTCTTCTAAAAAAAGTTCATTTTGTTAGTATACTTGTTAGTAATATAAAATACTTAATATTATAAAATTAAATCTTTAGATTTTCTGCCACATAGAAGTTTCCTTGTACTAAAGTTGCTTTTTTATTTTTAATAAAAGTTATACATACTGTTAGAAATAATTTTCACTAACAAATCCTATCAATCATTTAAAATAGCAAAGAGGCTTAAAAGCTTTTGGCTTCTAGGAGGAATTACATATATAAAAGTGTGACTAATGCAAACAATCTAGGTAACTAGCAACCTTGCTGTCATTTAAATGCAGTAATGATATGGGCTAGATTTTGAGCTGTGGCTGAACATAGGACAGGGTGTAAAGCAGGAGGAGCAATACAGCATCATGTCTCCCGATTCCTGGTCTCAAGTCCACCCTCTGTACAAGCCTGCCTTAGGAGCTGCCTTGTAGCTGCAACAGCCACAGCATTAAAGGCCCTCCCTGCCCTGCTTCACTTTTGCTCCTGTCCCATCATTACGCTGTGGCAGGGTGGCAGCGCAGTGTATGGTTGCACAGATTGGCCCTATGCCATTTCTGTGCTGGGAAGATTCTCTCTGGGGTCGCTTCAGACCCTCTGCAGCTCCTGTACGCTGCTGCAGAGGAGAGCAGGGCCCGCAGTGCTGACTAGACTCTGGCTCTACGCCTGTTCTGAACTCTTCCTGCAACCGGTCCATGAAGTAATCCCCAAGACTATTTCTGCCATCCTGGGAACAGTCAAGCCTGCGAGCATTGGTCAGCAGATCTCCCATCAGCTTGATCTTCTGGACTTTGGGCCCGATAAATTGTTTCTTGATAGTGCTTGCACTATGAGGGTCTGCATTTTCAATACTCAGGGCATAAAGCTCTTCAAAATACCGTACCATAGTTTTCCACTGTACCATTGCTAGTTCCAGGGCTTTCATCAGACCAACTGCATACTCACAGTTTGGTTTCTAAAAACAAAGACAGAATTACATTTATTTAGAAGAACAGCTCATCTTACTGGATTCATTGATGGTTCCTGCAACTTACCTGGTGCTATAAAAAAAAGATATGATAGGATTTTGCAACAGCTCCTTCTAGTTGGGAGCATCTGTTGGTTTTTTGCAGAGTTGGATGGCTGTAAACATACAGAAATGGCAGAACCCATGCATTTTTTAAAGGAACAGTTATACATGGCAGCAGTCATGCTTCAGGAGCGTACTTAAACCAGGAAAACCTATCATAGAATCAGAATGGTTTGGGTTGGAAGGGACCTTAAATACCATCTTTTTCCATCTCCCTGCCACGGGCAGGGACATCTCACACTAGACCAGGTTGCTCCAAGCCCCTGTGTCCAACCTGGCCTTGACCACTGCTGGGGATGGGGCAGCCACAGCTTCTCTGGGCACCCTGTGCCAGCGCCTCAGCACCCTCACAGGGAAGAAATTTTTCTTGCATCTAATCTAATTTTTTAAGTCTAAAACTTACCCCTCATCCTATCATTATGCTCCCTGATAAAGAGTCCTTCCCCATCTTTCCTGTAGGTCCCTGTTAAATACTGTAAGGCCATTATAAGGTCTTTCCTGATTGAAACTGAATATTTAGAAAGTTTTTCTAGATGGCCTTTTTATTTTTACTTTCTTCAGTTTAACAACTGCTTTGATAGGCCAGTGAAGGGCATTATGTGGTAAGTATTTACAGAATATTGATTTGGTTGAGAAGAATCAGCCCCTTCATCGTTAACAGATGTGGTGGGATTTTTTTTTCCCCTTATAACTTTGAGTTCTTCCTTTGTACCTATGCAAGCCTGAGTCAGATCTGTAGTTCAGATTTTATCTTGAGCTGTGCTCCAGCAGAATATCTACTGCCCCAAGCTGGATGTTTCCCCTGCCTACTTCCTTAACCACCTTTCTTAAGTGCTAATGGATTCTAGGCTTCTATTTAGTTTCAGTGTGAAGAAGACAAGTTGGCTATTTCAGCACAGTTTAAGGAGTCTCATAATCCATTATGGCACACTGGAAACGGCAGCTGAATAAAAGAAAAAGGGGACCACTGTTCATGTTCTTTCGGGCTAGAAAGCAACCGTGTAGAGTTAGGACTGTATGTCTCAAAGTTTCTAGGCATCACAATCGAGAATAAAACCGTATGACAGGGAAATTATATCTGGAAATCTAATAGTGGATGAATGCAGACATCTGAATTACCAACAATATAATGCAAGGAGTTAGATTACTGAGGATTGCAACTGCTGGAGAGCTTATCAACTACTACCCACCTGAATGGTTTTAGAACAGTAATGGCCCCCTCTTTCTTGCTGATACTTCATCAAAGCCTCTGCGGCTTTTCTCTCTTCCAGAGCTTGATGCAAGAAGAACTTTGAAACATTTGGTAGAGCCACATGTGACTGATCAAAATATTCACCCTAAGCACACAAAACATGAATATTAACATTTGCTGGAGATGGGACTCACTTGCAGCAGAACATGGCTTTATGGGAGAGCCTTCCAATGGAAGCTGTTCTACCAGCACAATCATTTTGAAGACCTAATCCAAATTTCTGCAATAATAAAATAAATATAATAAATAAAAATAATAAAAGTAGTTAACAGTTATAAATGAAAAATCTCTACACTTCTACTAGAACTCCTTCTGTCCTTTAATACTGGACAGGTAACTGTAGTAGTGATGTTCTGTCTCAGTAGCAGTCAAGAGACCCCCAGAATATTTTATGAGTGGTTGGGAGTGGGTTTTGTCGTTTTGTGGGGGCTTTTTGTTTGGCTATTTTTTAAACATAGTTTCAGCACAAGGACCATCAAATTTATCCCTTCAGGTCAGCATTCCAGTGAAAATAGCTTTCAAAGGTACGAGAAAGATGAGGCCAATAAAAAGCCCATGATTTTGCATCTATTTATTAGCTTTGTTATGGATAATGTTATTCCAAAGTAAAGAATACTGCTACTGAACTGTACTGTATGCACCTTTAATACTGTATGTAGCTCATGTCTAGGAATGCTTGACAAGTATTACAACCCTAAACCCACTGCAGGCCTTGTTCCCTTCTGTATGGGAAAGTAACACCTTTAACCACTGCAGTATTTTAATCATGCTAACGGATCTATCACTTCCTACATTAGAAGAATTTTATCCGTGGTAGTGCTGTCCCATAAAGAGAACTTACTGGAGACAGGTAGCAAAGGAGAGCCACCAGGCTATACTAGCTTCAGGATTGGTTCTGCACAGCTCTGATGTTGAGGAGAATGACAGGCAGCAGCTGGGGATATGTCAAGAACCAAACTGAGGTAGTTAGTGTCTCGAGCTGCTGGTTCCCTAAACATGCACATGCAATGCAGAACAGCTTTTGTCTCCTGGACATACTCTGGGTTGCAGTACTATATCTGAAGCAGTTGGCTTGTAGCCTGCCCAGGAGGGGTAAGGAACAAGTATGTGCATTTCCTAAGTTTTTCTGCTTCTTATTGTTTTCCCTGCTTTCATCTATTACTTTGTTTAGATATGAAATATTTGTGTTTCATCTATGCTGCTCTGTTTAGAAAAAATGCAGAAGAATTACATACACAATACAAGTTTGTCTCTTGATTTTTATGGCCATCTGGGATACCCCAGACCTGTGACACACATACACATGTATGACCATAAAACCATTCAAGAGAAAGCACATACTGGAATCTTTTATTAAGAACATTCATTGCCCTACTTTCATAAGCCTTTTCTTGAAGTCATTCATTCATGTTTCTGTTGACAGGAGAGTCAAGATTCAGTGTTTTACAACCAGTTCCTCAGGCCAAGTGTGCTGCTTGACTTCAAGTAGAGCGCAAGTTACCTCACCTGCTTAACTTAAGGTAAATCTTTTATGTCAATCATTAACTGTTTAATATGTTCACATTTCTAGGTTTGATGTATCCACAGTCAATTTCTAATTGAGCTTTCCCCATCCCACCCAGCTGCCAATCACTAGTATCATTCTAATCCACACGCTTGAAAAGTGGAGGTTTTACTGCATACTTACATTTTTATTGGACTAATAGTTGACACCAAGCTTGATCAAAAGATCTTGGGGATATACCGAATATAGTTTGTATTGCTTCTCAGTGGATGCTTGGCATCAGAAGGGACAGCATTGATCATTTTGTCTCTGATTTTAATTGCTTTGTTAAAATACATGTTGCCTTAATATTTGATATGTAACCAGGCACAATTTTGGTATGCATGTTACACAGTATCAGAGATAACTTTGATAACTTTTTTAATTCATGTTCAACATTCCTGCATGTGGAGCAAAAAAACCCGAAGGTAATAGCAACGTTCACAAACTTACTTCACCAGTTAACCACACACAGCTATTTTACATACAAAGTTTGAGGAAAAAAACCCCAAACACTCAGGAGTTAATAGTCCAGATTTGTTAGTGTTCCCTGTTCCTGTCCCTCTTTCCACAGGCATAATAAGTCTGTGTGAACTGCCCAAAATCCACAAGTGCGTGCTTCACCACCCGCTAGTTCCTAGACCTTCGCTGTCGTTCCACTAGCCGTGTCAGCGGCCTCCCCGGGGCTAAGCGCAGCGGTAGCAGCGCGCACCCGGAGCCGGCTCTGACAGCAGCGCTGCCCGGTTTAGACGCGAAAAAGAGCCCCCAGCTCCCGCTGGGTCACTTCACGGGGCAGGACCACTCTTCCATTCCTGCCCGACTTTGAAACCTTCCTGAACCCCCGACAGCGCCGGCG